ATCCTCACCTTTCCTTGTGTAGGCGCAGTTGTGGTTGCTGCAGACCCTCACTGACTTGGCGTGGACAGTCTGCCTCGTCCATGTGCCCTGGATCCCGGTGACCTGGAACATCTCGGAGGGCGGCACCAGCACCTCTTCTTCTTTAGGGAAGTGGGACAGGTCCCGAAGCGCATACCCCTTGCAGGAAAACAGGATGAAGAAGGTCTTTTTGCTGAATCTGGCCGCCGCCTTCCAGCTCTTTGAGGTGGAGGTGAACTGGCCAAAGCGGAACAAGCCGCTGCGGCTGATGGAGCACATTACGTCAGCTCCTCTGTAGACGGTGGCACAACTGTGCGTTATCCCCCATATGACTTTGGGCGCCTGGGTCAGCAGGAAATGCAAAGCCTTGAAGGGGTAGCTGGCGTAGGCGTCGGGTCCCGTCCAGCCCCTCCTGGTAGCCATGTTGAACTCCTTGTACAGAGGCGGGTAGTTTAAGGTGTAGGCCACCACTGCGACGCTGCAGAAAGCTTTCGTCGTGTTGGGGAAGATGTACCTATTCGTCTTCCTCATCCACTCCTTCTTGGCCTGGTTCCAAGCCGGGTTGAAGTTGTTGTCCTTGGTCAGCTCCTTTTCGATCAGGGACGGGAGATGTTGCCACATGGCTTTCGTGCAGCCTTCGTACAGGTCATCCACCGAGGAGAAGGCCAAATCGAGCGTGGGGTTTCCTTCTCCCACGCCGGTCCCGGGGGGGCTGGCCTAGGAGAGGGTTTGACTCATGGTCAGGCGTGACACGAGGCGCATGGGGACGTCATTTTATTCATTCCGGTCGCTCATGCTGGGAAGAAGGTGGGGCTGATTGCAACGGGAATGGCCAACTCTAGTGGTCGGAGCAGGGAAGGTATTGGAGGAGCCAGGACACCTGGGTTCTCTCCCCGGCTCTGGGAGGGGAGTGGGGTCTAGTGGTTAGAGCAGGGGGGCTGGGAGCCAGGACTCCTGGGTTCTCTCCCCAGCTCTGGGAGGGCAGTGGGGTCTAGTGGTTAGAACGGGGGGGCTGGGAGCCAGGACTCCTGGGTGCTA